TTGCACGACACGGAGGGCACAATAGGACAACACCAATAATAAAAGATGCAACTCAAACCAATCATAGCAATTCATCAATCACCGATAGGACAATGAAAATCTACTCAGACATCATAGGATGGCAACAGATCATTGGATAATAATATGAAGCATAAAGCATCATGTTCAAGTAGAGGGTACAGCGGGTTGCGGGATAGTGGACCGCTGAATATAGATGGGGGAATGTGATGGAGATGATGGTGAAGATGGCGGAGGTGTTGGTGAAGATCGCGGTGATGATGATGGCCCCCGGCGGCGTTCCGGCGCCACCGGAAGCAAGGGGGAGAGAGCCCCCCTTCTTATTCTTCTTCCTTGACCTTCACCCTAGATGGGAGAAGGATTTCCCCTCTGGTCCTTGGCTCCCATGGCTTGGGAGGGGCGAGAGCCCTCCGAGATTGGATTTGTCTCTCTGTTTCTGCGTTCTCAGATTCTACCCCTTGACCGTTTCTTAAATATCCGGAGATCCGTAACTCCGAATGGGTGAATCTTTCGCCCAGATTTTTCTCATAAAATTAGCTTTCTTGCAGAAAAAGAAGGGCATCAACCGCCTTACGGGTGGCCCACAAGAGGGCCAGGCGCGCCCAGGTGGTGGGCGCGCCCCCCTGTCTCGTGGCCACCTTGGACACCGTTTCGCTTCGATTCTTCCTCCGGAAAATCCAAAATATTCCAAAATAATTCTCCGTCCGTTTTTATCCCGTTTGGACTCCGTTTGATATTGGTTTTTTGCGAAATATAAAACATGCAACAAACAGGAACTGGCACTGGGCACTGGATCAATATGTTAGTCCCAAAAATAGTATAAAATGTTGCCAAAAGTATATGAAAGTTGAAGAATATTGGCATGGAACAATAAAAAATTATAGATACGACGAAGACGTATCACCCACAAGTATAGGGGATCTATCGTAGTCCTTTCGATAAGTAAGAGTGTCGAACCCAACGAGGAGCAGAAGGAAATGACAAGCGGTTTTCAGCAAGGTATTCTCTGCAAGCACCGAAATTATCGGTAACAGATAGTTTTGTGATAAGATAATTCATAATGAGTAACAAGTAACAAAAGTAATTAATGTGCAGCAAGGTGGCCCAACCCTTTTTGTAGAAAAGGACATGCCTGGACAAACTCTTATATAAAGCAAAACGCTCCCGAGGACACATGATAATTGTTGTCAAGTTAGATTTCATCATGCTAATATGATTTGCGTTCGTTACTTTGATAATTTAACATGTTGTTGGACCAGTGCTTGGGTGCTGCCCTTCCTTGGACAAGCCTCCCACTTATTATTAACCCCTCTCGCAAGCATCCGCAAGTACGAAACAAGAATTAAGATAAATCTAACCATAGCATGAAACATATGGATCCAAATCAGCCCCTTCCAAAGCAACACATAAACTAGGGTTTAAGCTTCTGTCACTCGAGCAACCCATCATCTACTTATTACTTCCCAATGCCTTCTCCTATGCCCAAATGATGGTGAAGTGTCATGTAGTCGACGTTCACATAACCCCACTAGTGGAAAGACAACATACATCTCATCAAAATATCGAACGAATACCGAATTCACATGATTAATTATAACAAGACTTCTCCCATGTCCTGATGAACAAACGTAACAACTCACAAAGCATATTCATGTTCATAATCAGAGGACTATTAATTATCATTAATCATCTGAGTATATGCCCTTCCACCGAATAAACCAACTAGCATCAACTACAAGGAGTAATCTACACTACTAGCAACCCAGAGGTACCAATCTGAGGTTTTGAGACAAAGATCGGATAGAAGAGATGAACTAGGGTTTGAAAGGAGATGGTGCTGGTGAAGATATTGGTGGAGATTGACCCCCTCTCGATGAGAGGATCGATGGTGATGACGATGGCGATGATTTCGCCCTCCCGGAGGGATGTTTCCCTGGCAGAATAGCTCCGCCGGAGCCGTAGATTAGTTCTGCCTAGGTTCCACCTCAAGATGGCAGGACTTCATCCTGAAAGCTTCCTTCTTATTTTTTTCAGGTCAGAATACACCATATAGCACAAGATGGGCGTCGGGGGGCCTGCTAGGGGACCCACAAGGACGGGGGGCGCGCCCAGGGAGGTAGGACGCGCCCTCCACCCTTGTGGCTGGCTGGTGGCCCTCCTCTGGTACTTTCTTTGCCTAATATTTTTTATTTATTCCAAAACGATTCTCCGTGAAGTTTCAGGACTTTTGGAGTTGTGCAAAATAGGTCTCTAATATTTGCTCCTTTTCCAGTTCGGAATTCCAATTGCCGGCATTCTCCCTCTTCATGTAAATCATATAAAATAAGAGAGAAAAGGCATAAGTATTGTGATATAAAGGGTAATAACGGCCCATAATGCAATAAATATCAATATAAAAGCATGATGCAAAATGGACATATTAGGCGGCCATCGCCAGCCACCAGTGCCACCGCGCCGCCCCATGGCCAACGGCTACACCATCGCCTCGAGAGCCATCATGGCACATGGCACCACCGCCACTGGACCACACCGATGCTGGCTGAAGGGCAGCACCGCCAGCCACCACCGCGCGAGCGAGGGGGGCGCAGGGAAAGGCAGACCCGGCGCCGCCAGCACCGCGCAGGCAAGGCCCGCGGTGCTAGCTGGTGGTGGTAGAATGAGGGAAGATCGGGGAGGGAAGCGCTGGTAGGAACGAGGAAGGAGCCCCCGGTCGCCTCGCTCGGGGAGGCGACGCAGGGGGGTACGGGGGAGGGAAGTGGAGGGAGGGGAAAAGGGGTGGGGGGAGAGGGCTAGCGGCAGCAGGTTCCAACCGCGGCGGCGGCTACACGCGGCAGGGGAGCCGATAGCGGTGTGAGGAAGCCTAGGGGAGGAGAGCTCCGCCCCTTGTATATGCTATTGATGTTCGCCAATTCATCTTGGGTTGCTCACAGGCCCCCGCGCCCGTCCAGACACTGGTCACGCGCAGGGCAACCAGACCCATTACCTCCAGTCGCTGACTTCTGTAGGGCAGCCTTTTTTGAAGTAAATCCCTTGCTTTATTAGACTTACAAAGATTACAATCAAACTGAAGAATTTTATTCAGGAATCCAGGAATTACATTAAAGCAATTAACAAATAAATTGCTAGCCTCTTTTGCACATAGATGCGCAGCCTAGTTTGCATCGTGTGGAGTTCAAAGAAACTTAACCCCAGAGAAAATCATCCAACTAATTTCAATCATGATATGTGCACCACTGATATGAGTTAGACTCATGTCATGCCACAAATCTGCAAGTGTAGAGCAGTCCACCTGGACCATTACATATTGATGTCCTCTTCTCAGCACGGTTTCTACACCATCTTGGCATGCGAACATCTCGCTCAGGAAAGGGTCCTCAATGCCCTTGTACTTCTTCAGTCCAGCTTCTAATAACACCCCTCAGTGATCTCTAATAAGGTAGCCTGAGCTAGGCACCCGTCTACAAGCATCAATTGCCCCATTGGAGTTAATAGCGACTCAGCCGACCACCGGCCATGGGTGGACGCCCACTCCGCGGGCCTTTTTTTTGCTTCCCTTGGGAGAAGTTCGACTTAGGGGTACCTCAAGAGCCCCAACCAGTTCATCAACTAGCGTGAAAGAACATGTGCCCCCGTGTTTGGTCTTGGTAATTGATGACAATCTCTATGCACTAATGGTTCCTTGAGTTATATTGGAAGGGTTTGTCCATAGGTATTGCTTGAAGACCATTTGTTTGTTTCAAGGTTATTAGAAGAAGAATATGTGTTGACCAATGTGCTATTCAAGGATTTATCCAAAGATTGGTTACGTGAGAGTTGAGCCTATTGCAAGCATGTCTTGAAGAAGAAGATTTTGCAAACATTCATGTTTACCTTCAAGACATCATCTTGAGAGAGTTGGAAAGATTTAAGGTTGATCAATACTAAGTACGAAGAGTGATTCTAGTTGATCAGCACACAAAGCGTAGAAGATGTACCAAGCGGGATCAAGTGATCTCATGGTATGGTAAGCATTGTCCATTACGCTTTGTGTACTAACCGGTGGTCTATATGAGAGTTGTTTGTGGAGTTAGGTATGTTTCCATGGTCATGCATCAAAGGGAGGATATCATATAACCCATGGAGGACTATATCAAGTGATAATCGTCATCAGGGTTGCGGTGTGCAAGTTCAAGTGGAGCATCACAAAGAGATCACAGATACATCCATTTTGCATCATGTTTACCCACTGTTATTTACGTTGTTTTATTATATAATAATGCTTTCTATACCTATACTAATCACAGACTCCCTATAAAATCCCACGTTAATCAGTAATTAGGAACCGTTAATCTGGTGGGACCGAGTTATAACGGTTTTGATTAATCCATAAAATCCCTGGCTGATACGATTAGAGGAAATACCTCATAGGACTCCTGGCGATTTATCTATGCGCGTGATTCTTCCATCATTGGCTGCGAAAGAAATATCTGTATTGCAGGCTCTCGAATCCCTAGCTAATCTACCGTATGATGTCAAAAACCAAAAAGAAAGCACATCTTTTGCATTGGTGCAACATGAAGTGGCCTCTACTATTCGATCTGATGCTCCAATCCACGTAAGAGTTCACCAAATCTCAATCCAATCTCCCAGGAGGTGATTTACGTACGTGCAAAACTTGCACGCAAGCAAGCAGACAGGCTACTTAATTGATTAGCCGTAGCGTAGCACTAGCCCACGTACACGTAAGAAGCTAGCTTCAACCGAAACTCTTGATTCTTTCGTATCTGGACGGGATCGGAACGATTCGGCTCTCTCGACGGATCATCCCGTAAGTGAGCTAGCTCTAATCGACCGGATTGACTTACTCCGGCGCCGTCCTGGGAACTTGTGTGTAACTTGGCGATGGAAGAAACAAATCCGGAGATTATATTGATGGCTACAGGTGCACCTGTTTTTCATTTATTGCTTTGGGCACCTGAATCACATTTGTTGCCAACCTACAGCAAGCTAGGTAATTAAGTAGCGTTCTCTACATCTAGGAATTGACCTCAGCCAACCAGTTTATAGAAAGTATTCCGATTTTTTCATAAGGAAGTGATTTAGATGTTGTAAATTTTTAATTCTAATGTGTGATAAATCTCAGATTATCTGCATGTTTAACAAATAATTTGTATGTCCAGGATTAAGCAAAAGTATGATGCCTTGGCATCAAATATTTTCATGTACTTTTGACATTTAATATATTATGAGCTTCCTGGATTTGTCAAAATCATGTCTAATACTGTACAACATATGTTTTGATGGATTTGTGAGATTTTAGTACTGTTGCATGTGCAAAATTTAAAATAGATATATGGCATATCGATTTATACATGTCACTGTTTACATGGTTTTTTTGTTGTATTTGGCAACAGATCTAGATAAATGATCTTTTTTATACAAAACATTCATAATAAAATTTAGTACAATTGTAACCATCGAATCTATGATGTCTTACTTTGTTTTTAGTAATACATGTTATCTTTCCACCGTAGTTCCAATATTCAGATGTTTATAGCTGACACTTGCAGAAAATATGACGAGGAGTTTTCATATATTCAGATGGAATTTCAGCCCAGTTGGATTTGAGGTGAAGGAAGGAGGAGAACTCTCAGCAAGGTCACGGCTCTACCCATGGAGACATAGCATGTAGGGAGAAGAGAACTTATACACAGGCAGTTTAACTTATAGCATGTCTCAGCAAGGAGGCGAACTCTCATTCACCGAACTATCACTGTGGTCCCTGAATTTGCCCTAATATCTAGGGTTCCTTCCATACCCTGATCTATCTCATTGATATCTCTCATCTCTCATTGTTATTATCTTCCGTTGCTTCTTCTCCATGACCCAATGTTCGTGTTCCCTCAATTTTCTCTAATCTTTAGGGTTCCAGTTTTTCCATGCCCTGATCTCTCTCATCTCTCCCATCACAAATTTTATGCACATCCCACTCTCAATACACCTAAATCCATCAATATCACTTTCCGAGACATGATCCACTAGATTTTCGCTTTTTCTTGTACTTGGATGAACTCCATGAATGGTGTTCAGGCAGAACGAATGTCGTTAAGTTATGGTGTGTTCATGACGGCTTGGTGGCATCCCATCACCAGGGGCATGCCACGGCTGCCACCATTGCCGGCGCACAGCACGATGACTCCACAATGATCTCCGTCGAGATCGGGGAGCAGAGCGCCAAAGCAGTCATAGCCTCCAACGTCCAGGGTTAGAGTAGCAGACCAACATGAATGATTGGTTCTACGTTCAGTACATCAACGTTGGGCAGGATCCGTGAAGGAACTCCAAGAAATATCCGAAAAGAACTGCACGTGCAGCCTGTACTATTCTCTTCGGAGGAAAAAGAACTGCTTTCAGAGTTGAGATTAATCAATATCCAGAACTCATGATGGTACAAGATATTTCAATTCCGATTTTGATACTCTCATTTCTTTCCAAAATTTATTAAATTGGCAATATTCCCTTTTCTTATATTATACTGCAGTTTTCAGTTTTTGAATTGGTACACCAGTGCAGTTTTCAGTTTTTTAATTGGTAGAACAGTGCAGTTTTCTATTTTTGAATTGGTAGAACAAAGTGCAGTTTTCTGTTTTATGGATTGCTATGCAGGTATGTAATTACTTGGAAAATTCTCACACCATGTCCGGGTTCGAATTCAATTGAATGGATATAGCTTAATAAAAGACTGATGTAGCTCTATGCATGCCTATTCAAGGAGGAGTTCCAACCAACATTCTTTGGGAAAGAATAATACCAAAGTAGGCGCAGCTGCGCAGGTTTGTTTCTTCGTGAGCTTTACATAGTTATGAGGTATATTCTGGAATCCAATTTCGTTTTTTCTGCAAGGGCCTTTACAAAGATTCCAAATTGCCAGGTATTAGTATAAGTATTCAAAATTTATATTTCTGTTAAACCTGACCCAATAAATCTATGTTACGCATGCGCATTTGCCATGTCGCTCACGGGCAAAGAAAACCATCTTTACAGTGTCGCTCTCCAATCTTCTCCTATCAATCCTGCCACGACGATTTCCAGTCGGTAACTGGAAAACTCTTCTGATTGAACATGACTTTTCTGTGTCACACGGATTTTTGCGTCACAGCACCGACGGCCACCCAAACATGCTTCGTTTTCAAATTAGGAGTTGATGCACATGCAACCATATCGACTGCTCCGTATCCTGGACTCCCAGTATTCGAACCACGGAGTCTAGCAGCCAGACGACCACTTAGCTGCTGACTAGCTGCCTCCTCCATTCTAGATTACAAAGGCTGAACTGCCACGTGATGAAATGAGTACATTGGTACAAATAATAATAGGAAAATTGAAGGAAAAGCAGGTGCAACTTCCCCATTTTTACTCTTCTTCCTTTTAGCTACTTCGTTATCTTCCTACAATTTACATGGACCGTGTGGTGTGGTGATTCGTGTGAAAACATGCCTTATATCAGTAGGTTCCGCTACACGTCTCCATTAGATTTAGTTCTTTCTCACCGTAAACAGCAAGAGTACTTGATGAACAATGTTGGTTTAGAAATAAAACATGGATGCCAAAATTATTTACTTTTGTCGATCCAGGTTTCAAAGGATTTGATTATGGAAGTTTTAATTATTCCATCACAGAATACAAAAGGTACACATACAAACTTTGCTTACTTAATTCTTTTATGTGATACACACATTTGCAGTCGTTCCAATTTGTACCATCGAATTCTACTGTGAGTAAACCGCCGGATATATTTTCCCATATGTATCTAATTAGGTCTCCAAGATACTTGATTTTTTAATCATTTGTTACTTGCATTGCAAATTTGCAGATGCACTACAAGGATATACATGCCTCATGAGATCTTTATAGAAATATCTTATTGTGGAAGATTATAATTCATTAGTTTTATGTGCATTCCTTTACTTTGCTGGTGCAACGCTACTCAGGATTGGAAAAGCGTGAAAATTGCAATAATATATTTGTAATCCTATTTTTTCTACATTTGAATTACCAACACCTATATATAAGAATTTTATTAAAAAATGTCCTATTTGCAAGTTACGCAAAAGTTTACTAATGTGATGATCTTACATATGTAGAAAGCGGTAGAAACAAATAATGTAGACACTTCTCTTTCAGTGTAACATGGAAATAAAAAAAAATTGCAGTAAAGTTCAAACTCTGGCATCCTTTTTGAAATCGGCTAAAAGGAGACATTCAAGGTTTCCTTTCAGGTACACTATATTATGATATATTAGTGTCATTAGGTTTTAGATGGCCGGAAACCATACATGATTATTACTAACACCATTAATGAAAGGATAAGGTAGTATCATTTTGTGATCGAATATAAATTTATTATTTCTAGAGTAAGGGATGATACCTAATAATTTAGGGATTCGGGAGACATGACAAAGGAAACTATTGTTGGATAGTGTCATGTTATCGTGCATTATCTTTTCTTTTAATTTACATATGGTGTGAGTACAGAATTAACAACCATCCTAAAAAAAATAACAAAACAATACAGTATTAGTGTAGCATAATTGGTAACCCACATACTATACGTAAATTTCAAATTATGGGTTTATTGAAAAGAATATATCATTTGTACCACACGGTATCCAATATGCATCATTGCATGTTATAGTTGCAATGGTTAAAAGTGATACTATAATTTATTTTGTAATGTTCGTTTCCACTAATATTGTTTGCACTAAAGATAAATATAAGTTCAACTGATATACATCTACCTACGATTCGCTAGCCCGTGCGGACGCACGGGTTGACGACTAGTTTGGAATAATTATAATGCCTTTTCTCTCATAATATGCAAGGTATACACAAGGGGGGATTCTGGCAGCTGGAAATTTGGACCTGAAAAAGCTACGTCAGGCTACCTATTCTACACAACTCCAAATGAGCTGAAACTTTATGAGGATTTTTTATGGAACAAATAAGAATTTTAGGAGCCAATAAGTATCAGAGGGGGCCCATCAGGTGGGAACAAACCACCTGGGTTTTTCCTGGGAGCCCAGGCGCTCCCTGGTGGGTTATGCTCACCCAGGCCCACCTCCGGTGCCCCTCTTCTGGTATAGACTTAGAAAATAAATAAGGAGAAAACTTTCGGGACGAAGCACCGCCGTCTTGAGGTGGAACCTGGGTAGTAGCACTTTTACCCTCTGGCGTAGCGATCAGCCGCAGGAACTTCCCTCCCGGAGGTGGAAATCGTTGTCGTCATCATCACCAACAACTCCCCCATCTTGGGGAGGGCTATCTTCATCAACATCTTCAGCGACACCAACTCCTCTCAAACCCTAGTTCATCTCTTGTGTTCAATCTTTGTACCGAAACTATAGATTGGTGCTTGTGGGTGACTAGTAGTGTTGATTACATCTTGTAGTCGATTACTATATGGTTTTTTTGGTGGAAGATTATATGCTCAGATCCATTATGCTATTTAATACCCCCTATGATCTTGAGCATGATTATCATTTGTGAGTAGTTAGTTTTGTTGTTGAAGTCACAGGAGAAATCATGTTGCAAGTAATCATGTGAACTTGATATGTGTTTGATATTTTGATGATATGTATGTCGTGATTCGCTTAGTGGTGTCATGTGAACGTCGACTACATGGCACTTTACCATATTTGGGCCTAAGGGAATGCATTGTGGAGTAGTTATTAGATGATGGGCTACGAGAGTGACAGAAGCTTAAACCCCAGTTTATGCGCTATTCCGTAAGGGACCGATTGGATCCAAAAGTTCAATGCTATGGTTAGAATTTATTCTTAATACTTTTCTCGTAGTTGGGGATGCTTGTGAGAAGGTTAATCATAAGTAGGAGGTTTGTTCAATTAAGAACAGCACCTAAGAACCGGTCCACCCACATACTAAATTATCAAAGTAGCGAACACAAATTAAGCCAACATGATGAAAGTGACTAGATGAAATTCCCGTGTACAC